CAAAGGCGGTTCAGAAGCACATCCCACTCTGATCCGCGTGGGCGGAGGTGCACTTCTACTATATACTTCTCGCTGGCGCTGCCTCTTCACTAGAAACAGCGCGACCAATGGAGAAGACGTATTGTCTGGGTGTCTCCACCCATGTAGTCGGCGTGTATTCTGCCTAAAGAGACAAACCTCGCGCTTGACCAACTCGTTGGATTCCTTCTCTGCCTAGGTAGTCCGGTAGGGAATCGCAAAGACTGTCCTACGTTCGCAACTCTACAGTGGGTGACGAGGGGGCTGCCATCGTAAGCCGCATTCATGTACGGTATAGCCTGCGGTACATCGTGTAAAACTGCATGTTATGATGGCAAGGAAGGAATCCCACAAACTAGTTCTTTCTCAGGGTCATGTTCAACCTTATGCTTGCCAATTTCAGTTAGATGGATTTGGACTGATTCCGGAAATATCACCTGGGGAAATCAGTGTCGTCACGTCTGTCATAGCTCTCCTTGCTGTTGTTCAAGCTATAGGAAAGAACATGGACATTTTCGAGCAAGCTGCTTTGGCTTCAAATAGGCATCTTCTCGTCGCTTTCTTTGATGGAGTCAGTAATTCTCTATTCTCTCTCCTATAGAGCAAGGTGCCCTACAAATGTTTTTTAGGAAGCTTTTGATTATATCGGCAGCGGTAGTGTGGCATATGATATGAAGTAAGAAATTTTTTTTCCAGTTTTGCTCACATTTTTCCGAAAGCTCGAAAGTTCTGCTCTCGAAGGCACAGTTCGCGCTCACCGTGTGGGCGGAGACACCCAACTATTGTGCTATTCAAGTAAGACGCCGATCCGCTCGCTTCAGTAGGCTACATCGGAGTGAGTAGCTCCAGTGTTGCGAAAGGTACAATGGCTGTTCGTCTCCGCCCACTTCTCCCACCGGCACGATAAGTGGTGACTGTGTCTTCAGAAGTTGTCCGATTACGTGAGTTCGGCCTGGGGGGGGGTGGAAGGGGCATTTTACTTTTGCTATTGCCTATTGTCGTGGCGAGCTATCAAGTAGAGATTTGTGAAATCTTGTGATCCCATGAAGTGCACAGTTAGTTATATAGTGAAGTGCGCAGTTAGATTGTACAAATAAAAGTTTGAGATTATTTGTCAAGGATACCTGCCAACTCTTGTAGAGCCCCTCCTCCCGGACCGAACTGCGCCTCTGATGATTCCCAAGTGATCTATTACGTTTTCTTCTATCAGGAGTGGCACGTTTCCTCGAAAACCGAAGAACGGCTTGGATATGCGCCTCGAATTAATTTTTCCCTCGCAATTAGACGGTATAATAGAGGTGCAGCAGTTGGGAAGCGGTACTGGCGAGAGGTTATATGCTCATGCTCATGGTAGACAGGTCCAAAATGGCCAGGTAAGCTGGTTCGCTTGCGTCATCGATGGAATAGCTTTTGACAGACTCTCTAGCCTTCTAGGGCGTGTAGCCAAACCATCAGAAACTGAATCGCTGCCTCTACAAGTTGATTTCAGGTCATGGATCCTGTTGACCGCGTTTGTGGGCTGGAGGTGACAGCTGTCGATGGGATACTTGTTCCTCCAACAGAATACTCCAGTATGCCTCCATCGAGTTGGAATTCATTTGCTAAAATCAACTCTTCTATTACTGGCCTCGGTGTTAGGCTCCATTTCGTGTGAAGTATGAATACCTGTGAGTCGCGGTTTTTTCTTGAGGAAGCCTTGAAGAACGTTCTGCAATAGTTGGATTGGCGTAGGGGGATATCACAACCCTTGTACCTTTTCCATTAGTGCGCCAGTTTGTGAAGAGGGCGCACCAATGAGGAAAGTACGAAGACCGTGAGTCCCCGCCCACCTGACTGTCACGGAATGGGTCTTCAAATCGTGCTGTTGCTAATAGTACTTTTTAGCCGTTTCAACTCGATGCTTGACCGAGCTCAGTGGGATTCTACCCAGCGATCAGCAGGCACATTCTGAAGTGACGATGGCAGCAAGCGCTATGCTACGCGCCGCTGCTGAACATGTAGGATTAGATTCCGATACCAAGTCAAAGTTGGAAATCGACAAAGAGTTCGTGAGTTGTACACTCCATAACTAAATTGTTTTCTTC